CAGATAGATAGATAGATAGATAGATAGATGGATAGATAGGTAGATAGGTAAAATGATAGAGAGATAGACAGATCCTTACTCTATCGGTTTATGCTCTCCAGACAGACAAACCCGGACTCAGCACCGCTGGTCGTGACTTTCCCGTAGGAGAGACATGAGGTAGCAGTGGTCACAGCGGGTGGAAGCATAAATAAAGAGGGAGGATTCAAAAGAATGGAAACGGAAGACTGTGCAGGCAATTCGGCAGGTACCAAAGTGATTCATGGTAACCAAACCGTAAACGACAAATTCAAAAAACGGCGGAGCACAAGCGGTTCACTTGCAAAACACAATGTAGACAGTAGAATGATTGAGCCCGGGTAATGGCAATGATGCTCCAGTTGTCTTGTAATAATCGCGATGGCGTGGAATGAGCGAGATCGAGATAGCGGCTTCGAATTGGAGTTCTACTAGGAAACACCGAAGCGTCTCAACCCATAGTTGCAGGGACAGGCGCATGGAGCCCAAGTAGATGAGCGTGCGGCACACAAAGAGGACGATGTCCTGTTGATCAGACGTAACTTTGCAACAAGGGTGAACTGGAGAGTAAACCGTCTGAGCTCCAAACAGTTTTTAATTGAAGCGTGCGGCAACTCTAAATGCAGCGACATGTTTCTATTCATATACATCTCTATTACCCGTATGTACTGCTGACAGCGCCACCGAAGCGGCCCCATCGAAACCAAGGAGATGAATGGTATCACTCACATCAAGGTAATAGCCGTAAGAACGCGGTGGAGAAGCACCCTAAACCCTAAACTCGTCTGGCAAGGATGGCGAGAGCGGCTTATGAGAGCAAAATGGCTGCTGTTAGTTTGTACGATTACAGACTATCTTTTTCGCAAACCCCCTACATGTCTCAGCTCCTAACCCAGAATCCCCCCGAACTCGCAACACTGCCTCACTCCCACAGCGGAAAACACCCTACTTGGGGAATCATGGGATTTAGAAGCTATACCTTACTTGGGGTTTTCAGTATCTATAGCTATAAGAACCATATTTATATCCCTAGTTACTGAATCCCACGATTCTTCAAGTACTCCGAAAGCCCAAAGCCCTAGCCCAGGGCCCGCCACGTCCTCCTCCACAGTGGCCTTGCCACCCTCCTGTAGCCTGGGGATGATTGCCTGGCCTTGGCGTGTTTGGGATTCAAAGTCGGTGAAGGGCTTTAGGGTTTCAGGATTTTTGGTGTTTAGGATATACGTTTATTCTAGGTTCAGGTGTTGACAGCGGATCTCTTGCTCTTGGGCCTCGGCCTGTCTTTGCTTCAAATGAACACAGGCCAGGTCTTGTCGAAAGAAATGGGCCAAAATGCTAGGGCACAGAAACACGCGTCTCAGATTGGTGACGCCCGGCCGCGTGCTTCGTGGGGAAAAGGGGCTCGCACTAATTCACTAATGGTATGGAACTGGAAACTACCTGACCTCGCTGGAGAAGAAGACTGCAGCACACAATGCAAACAACAAATGACGAGCACGCTTCTTGCTGTAGTTCGAAGCATGCTGGCAATGCTCGGTATGGAGCCACTAACTGATGCTGGCTGCTGCTGCTGACCGCGTGCATGGTGCTTACGATTACTCGTGACAGCGAGTCAGAAGCAGCCGATGACTTCACCCAGTCAAGAGGCTGGTGATGAAGAGGCAAAGCATGAAGAGGAAGTAGCATCTCCTGACAAGATGCTCTAACGAGCAGGTGCAGTCGCTGAACGGGAAGCTCGTATGATCTTGCAATCGACCTATTCCCACTATAACGGAAATGCCATGACCATTTGCAATGGGACTTTCAGACGGCAATCACTGTGCCCGAGAAGCGTCCGGGTCTACTCAAGGTTCTTTGCTAAAAGCGAGCTGGCGCCTAGGGGTCGAGGGGCTGGGGTTTAGGGAAGTTGCAGCGAGCGCTGGAGGGGCCCGTCAGGCCAAGCCACCCCATCATGAAGAGATAAATCGCAAGCCGGCTCCAGATGATGTCCGCGAACAACACCTTGGGTGGCAGCAAGAAACGCTTATGGCAATTTTGGCCAATGTCTCGGATGGCTTCTGCGTCAGCTTCCTTTCTCAGCCAGTTCCATGGTACTCACAGTGTAGCTCATTCGGCTCATGGCATTCATCACTATAGGCCCTACTGCTTGAAGCCGAACGACCATGCAACATCCAGTTGCTGCTGCCGTCTCGAAAAATCACACAAGGGAAAAGCTGTCCCCCAAATGTCGCAGGCCAAACCATGCCAGGATCATTCGGAGAGCTTTGTGTGTGTTGTCTGCACGTGTACACCTATCTTTAGCAAACACAGCTGTGTTTCTACATATATATATATATACATATATAAATGCATACATATTCATACATACATACATACATACATACATACATACATACATACATACATATATATATACATATATATTTTTTTCATGTGTATATATGTATACCGATCTGAATGAAAGAATATATATATGTGTGTATTATATATATGTGTGTGTATATATATATTTACATGCCAGTACGGGCTTGTACAGCGGAGAGAATCGAAAATAAAGTCTGCGTGCCAAACGCAAATGTTACCTACTATGATATGCAAAGATGTACTATGAATATACGTTACACGATGGTATACTTTCATACACGAGAGGATACAATAACACACTATAGTATGCGATGATACAACAACAATCCAATACATGGGGGGTTTCCGAAAATAGGGGACCCTAATATGGTACCCTAAATAGTAGGATCCCTATCATAAGGACCCAAAAAAAAAGGTACACCTTGCGTTCGGAAACTGCCACGTTGTTTTTGTTGCACAAGGGCACAAAAGCCAAGCCCAAGTCGCCACCACGGAGTGGCAGATGATCTTGGGATCCTTGAAGTCTGCTAGCCATGAGAGCGCCTGGCGACAACGAACACAAGCAGTAGGTTAGCGTGTAGATATAGATATAAGTATATGTGATACGGAGCTTCGGAACGGGCAAGATGGCCAAGTGGTCCGGCCAGGAACTGCACAAATTTTACTTCGGGAGCAACCCAAACCAGAGTTCCCAGAGCCTGCACCCTGAAACCCACAGACCTGGTTGAAGAAGCCTAAACCCTAAACTCCCCCCTAAAACCCCAAAAGGAGCAGACGAACCCCGTCTAGGGTTTAGGGTATGATCGAGCCCTATAGCACCCCTTAAGACCCCTTCTATAACCCCTTAAAGGAGCCTGGTTGAAGTAACCATCCTGATCCTGCACAAGGTGCCTCAGAAAATACAACTCCGGGCTCTGCAGGCAGAAAGGAGCATCTGAGGTTGAGAGTCGAGGGCTATCCCATGGAGCTCCCTGCGGATCTCTGGGCGGGCAGCTTCATCTATCTTTCTTTCTTGCGCCAGCGTGCGCACGTGCTTCACCTCTGCCTCTCACACTCTCTCTCTTTCTTTCACCAGGGCTACGACCGAGGGTTGCCCCTCTCTCTCTCTCGGTCTCACTCTGTCTTCGTTTCTTTTGCACATGAAGCGCTCCCATCGTCGCCAAGCTGCTGAATGTAATAGTTGACTCGCCGTTGACCTGTCCAGGGAACTCGAGGACAACTGCCTTATAACTGCTGGCGTTTTGTCCTACTCTATCGTTGCCACCAGTATTGGCAAATTACCAAGCACGGTACCATACTGTGACAATATGCACATCGTTTTGAGGTGCATTGACGGATCTGCGACTTCTGAACATCTGGTGGGGCTACAGATACATTCGGCTTCGTACGATGCAGTCTGTGCAGCCAACGCTGTGGACATGCTGAAGCATTTTCAACATGTTTGCTTTCGATAAACCCGAATTGGGGTTCCACTTTAAGTAAAGGACGCTTTGCACAATTATTCTATGTTGTGTGTTCACTGCTCATGACGTGCAGCTACTTTCATTCTTGTCTCATCCTCTCATGTTACAGCCCCCTCACACTATCGCGCGATTAAAGATCTTAGTCGCGTATAGGCACACTGTCTTACAAATACCGAGGCAAGTCAACAGACTGAACATGAATGTACAGATGACTTCCTGCACTTTATCTATGCTTTGACTTTGCTGTATGGGTTATGTGCGTTAGTGTGCATATGCATACATGCACGTGTAACATGTTACATAATAGCACACATTTACATATAGGTATATACACATGAACTACACATATATGTAGAGTGACAGACAGATAAATAGACAGATAGATAAATTTCGATAGAAAGGTAGGTAGGTAGGTAGGTA